AAGTATTGAGAGAGTTCAGATGTGATTTGGGATCACTGTAGAAGACCATAGTTATCTTGTCGATTCGCTTGAAAGTCTGTCTATCTTGGGGATTCGATTGAAGGTATTCATTCACGCTTCAAGAGGTAATTCTTGAATTAAATTTTATTATGTTTATGTGTTCTAGCATGATATTTGTTTTAGCGTAAACGGTATTGGTTATCTATTATTCATGTAAGCAGTAAAGATGCTAATATGCTTCCGCTCTGCATATGTATTCTAACAGAATGAACTCAAATTAATCCTCAAAACTAGACACACTTCTCCTCATCCTCTCATCCCCACCACCCTTTTCCATACTTTCAACCACGTTTTCCCATACTTCTATATTGTGGCTTAAAACTTAATACTCATGTAGTTGTTGCAATTTTTGATATCACCCTTATTTTTGTTCAATGGAACCATTGTAATACACATTCATTCCTTTGGCATCTTAGTCGTCCTAAAAATAGCATTGAACAAGCTAGTCACCACTCCAAACCTGTTATATTCGTGCTCTTCCAAAACTACATCGAAATTTCATCAAGTCATGTCGCTTTTCCCTTACTTGTCCTACTAATATCATGATTTACCTCCACCACCTTATTATGCTTACGACACCCAAAATCTTGATGTCTCTTAGAGTACTCCAACTCCCTAACATGATGTCTTTATCCCTTTCTTAGTTCAATAGTTTGTGAAAGTGTGTTTTCCATCTTTGCTTAATGAAGTTCTCCTAGTCAGTGGCGTATTCAGGATATACAAGTTGTGGCTGCTCACTTCCTTTAACATAAAATTGTTAGAAATCACATAGAGTAAGTGTATACTAATTCAAACTCTTTAGTAAGAAAAATAAATGTATACTAACTCAAACTCTTTAATAAAATAAGAAAAAGTTTATTTCAAAAGTGTTCAAAAAAATTATTTTTAATCACGAAACACTAAATATGTGAGACTCTAAAGTTTAAACTTATTTATAAAGTAACAAAAAATAAATAAATAAATAAATAAATAAATAAATATATATATATATAAAAAAAAAATCTACTCTAAGACTTAAGAGTACTAACCATAGCCCATAAACAATGAAAATCTCAAAACCTAATTCCCTAAAGCTTTTTTTCATTATCCAACTTTAATCAAACATAAAATAATATCACCTTTCTTTTATATTTTAATTTTTTTTAAAAAAAGCTTGAAGTTTGTTATCGGGTTAGCTGTTTTCTCTTTGAAACAAGAAGTTGTTTTGTTCAAAGAAAGAATCACAAAAGCGGGCATTGGAAAAGGTTTTAAAGCATAAAAAAAACTGGAAAAAATAAAAATAAATTAGAAAGAAAAATTCATTATTTAGCCTAAACTAATTAAGAATAGAAAAAGTCAAAACATATACAAAATTCGAAGTAAAAGAATTCTTAAATTAAAAAAAAAGTAAAAAAATGGGTGCAAAAATTCGCTGGTAAAAGTAAAAAAAAAAATCTAGAAAACCTCAGAAAAAGGATGCAAATTCGTTGGAAAAAAATTGGGCTTGTTGGGATTCGAATCGCTTGATGGCTTTGCGCGCCTAATTGTTCAAAGGAAACCAGCGTGCCCACAACTACATTTATTCAACAGGTGCTTATTTATATCAAATAATCTAGTTTTCATATTTTCTGTATGTATATACAAAAAGATTTCTGAGTCAATAGGTGTCAAGCACCCGAAACTACCTATGTGGGTCCGCCCCTACTCCTAGTTAAGGTGTCTAAGTGAAAATTGATCCAAATTTAGGTGGATACCGGTGAATTCTGCACATCAAAGTTGATCCTAGTTTGTCCAATTTGATATCCGATTATAACACTTTGGAAAGTAGAATTAAATTTAAACTGTTATATTTCGTGAGATTCGATCCAAATTATGATAAGCATGAAATGCAATGAGGTCCAAGCATGTCTAGAGTAAGCAAAAAATTGAGAGACAAAATGGAGAAAAACTCGAAAGCCCATACGCGGACCAAAATAAATCGGAAAAATTATGTATTATAGCAAACTATTAGTTCAAAATAAATGTTATAGCTAAAATTTCATTTAATTCCAATTCACAACAAACTTCTTGACATTCGCCTCTTTCCCCCTCTCTCTGGAATCTCGCTCGCCACTCTCCTCTTTTTCAGTCTGTTGAATGCCTTGAATCGGACCCGCTACAAACAGAAAGGACGGGGGTCTCGCTGCCCGACGGTATACAATGTTGTTGTATTGGGCCCTTAATTTTCTGTTGATTCTGTATGTTGGGCCCAAGCCTTTTAGGGCGTAGCTTAGCACTATATATAGACGCTATGTCAAACCCTATTCTATAATTCTGTTTTTGCCTCTCCATAATAAAACTGCTCCCTCTCTTCCCGTGGACGTAGCCAATTTATTGGTGAACCACGTAAATCTGTTGTTTTATTTTTCGCGTTTTTATATTTTCTCGTATTATCTCAAATTCCGCACAACACAGTCATCTCTCATCGCCTCTCCTACTTTATACATTTGTGTTTGTATAATGCGAGAGACTGTATATACAAATACAAACACATATCTGTCCATCCTATACACTTATAATTATACATATACAAATACAAATCTTTCCCCTGTCTAATTCAATTTTGTCTTTCCCCTGTCTCTTAAACAAAATATACAAATACAATGTATAATTTGTGCTTGTAAGCAAGGAGGAGATTTGATATACAAATACAAATATTTTTACTCGATTCAATTGTATACGAATTCAAATTCTATGCACATATACAAACACAATCGTTGATACATATACATAGTAGTTACATATATGCAATTATCTAACCGATATACATATGAATTCACCTCACTCTGTATCTTCTCTAGCTCGCCTCTCTTCCTTATCTCGCTTGCCAATCTAACCTAACACACATAACATATACATATATAAATTCAATTTTCATAGATACAGACACCCCATTTATATAAATCACTACAATTTATACAAATCAGATGCTCCGAAGCAAACATAATTTGGTTATGAAGCACAAAGATGATTAATTTTAGTAGCTATAGAAGAAGACTAGGCATTCTCCAGTAGGGGCCACAATGGTATGTCTCCAACAATAATTTTATGAAATTCATATCATATCAATTTTTTTTGGTTATTGTAATTTATTTTATATAATCAAAATTAGATATTTAAAAAATTATTCCTTCATCTCGATGCTTTTCAGTATTGATATGATTACATTAATTTTTCAATTTTGTTTTTAAGAAAATATAATGTAAAAGTCCGAAGTAGAAGTTACAGTACGATATCACTTTTGTAGGACTTTAACAAAAATTGTTGGATATTAATTATCCTGATTTTTTTAAATCATATATTAGGGGTGGGTGTTCGGTATTTCAGTTCGGTTTTTTTTTTTGTTGGTTTTTCGGTTTTCAGTTTTTGTAAATTGTGTACCGAATACCAAACAGATATATTTTGGTTTGGTTCGATTTTTGTTAATTTGATTCGATTTTTATTAATTCGGTTCGGTTATTTATTTCAATTTTTTAATGGACCTGAGACGGCGCGGCTGCTGGCTGCTTGATGGCGGACGGCACGGCTGCTGGCTGCTTGATGGCGGACGGTGCGGCTACTGACTGCTTGATGGCAGAGGCGCGGCTGCTGCTGGCCGCTTCTGGCGGACAGCGCGGCTGCTGCTTCTGGCTGCTTCTTGCTGACGGAACTCGGAAGAGGAGAAGAGGAAGAAGAGGAAGAGGAAAGAGCCAAGAAGAAAAGATGCAAGACCAAGAGAAAAAGAAAATTAGTAGAAAGATGAAAGAGAGAGGAATAGGGTCATAGAGTTTCTTTTTTAAAAAAATTATTTAATATTAATAATTATTAATTAATATAATATAAATTATAGTATAATATTTCAGTTTAAAACGAAATATCGAAAACCAAAATAATACGTACCGAAAACCGAATCGAAATACCGAAAAATACAAAAAAGTAAACCGAACACCGAACCGGAAACCGAAATACCGAAACCAAAATTCTGAAAATTTTTGATTCGGTTCGGTGTTTCGGTTTTCCGGTGTTTATGCCCACCCCTATCATAAATAGGTATTTTTGTATGAAAATGTTTAGGATTGGCTAGTCCATAAATATTTTTGTACCATAAATTTTTTAAAATCTCATATTTATATAATGAATTGTTCATATTTTTTGTGAACGTAGGTCAATGACCGAATCACGTTAAATCTTTGGATCTTTTGATAGACTTCTCTTTTTTTCTTCTTATTCATGATCTTTCGAGTTTTGTTTTGCTAGCTTTCGCATGACATATAATCACACAGCATAAATAAGTCAATCAAGATGGAGCTCAAGATTGTTGGAAATTTAAATCATAGAGAAAAGATAATTAATACTTGATAGCTTGCTACTCAAGATTGTTAGAATACCATTGGAGCTTACTAATTATTACACGAGCGTAATTGATTATGAAGTTGAAACTCTAGGTGTTAATATTTCATTATTTTTAAACTTGTTAGATGAAATATATTTTACACATACAATATTTATTTGATATGATTTAATATTTTTTATATATATAAAATTAAAAATCTATCTAACTATTCGGTATAATTATTAATTTATATAAAAATCTATGACTTTATTAAAAGCCTAATGATCAATTTAATTCGATCCGTTAAATCAATTTTTAGAAAAATCATTGACATCCCCAACTAAAAGAAAAAGTCAACTATGTTTTTAGGCAATATTATAAATTTAGGAGATATCAATATTTAACAGCTTATAAGTTAGCTCCAATTTCAGCCATCCATCTCCTTATCCATTTTGTCTAATAATTCACCTCAAACATATCACTCAAATGTTCACTCTTCTATTTTCTCTCTACTTTCCAAAACTTAGATCACTCCACAAGCCATCACAACCAGGTAAAACCAATCTTTTTTAGACTTTGCTTTTGTATTTCTTTCATACTAAATCACTCTTCTTAAAGATATATATTTCTATGTTGTCCGGACTCTCCAAGAATGTTGTGATATTGTTGTTGAATCATCTAAAAATGCATTACTTTTGGAGGATTCGATACAGCTCAATGACATTTTTGGGAGAGTCTTGAGCAACATACAACAAAGCTCTATATAGTGCAAATTGACTTTGTTACTTCATAGAAAAAGGCTTGAATTATAAAGTTGAAAGAAGGTAATTTAGAAGAGTATATCTTGATTTCATGAACTAATATTTTCTTTTAATTCTAGAACTTAAATTATAACATTTGACTTGAAATTCAATTTTTAAGTAAAAACTGAAAATATCATTATCTTTTAGTGTAATATGTAAATTCTTTTAGCCTTCAATCTCACTTTTACCATCCACTTCATATGTAGTTTAAAATAGTAGTGGTCAAGTCAGAATTTTCAGAAGGAGAATTCAAATATAAAGAATTGAATACATTGAGAATCTAACATGTACTGTATATAAATAGTAAATGTAGTTTTGATTAGGCATAATACATGAATGTGTCATTTAATTTGGTGTCAACTGACATCTATGTCTCTAACTTTGAGTGTGCACTTAAGCTTGTATTTAACTAAACAAGTATACTCATTCGTCCTAAGTGGCAAGTTTGGTCCTATATGATGTCTTACGTGTATTATGCCACGTAGGATGTTTGTGCCTACTTGTTCGATTTTTTTACAAGTTTAAGTGTCTACTTAAGCACTTCTGAAGCTGGTTATGCATTTTGATTTTATATCTGTGCAATTTTCTGGCGAATGTGGATTTGAATGAACCTCCTGACTCCGCTGCTGTGTATCCCCTGTTATATAGGTTGGTGGTCAGAAAGCAATGGCAACAGGTTCAGTGACACTCTCTCCAGCAACAGTTACTCTAGCAGCCAGAGTTGGCACAAACAAGTGTTCCCAGAAAAGAACCAAAGTGAAGTACATTAGTGGCTTGAATTCATTTGAAGGGCTTAAGGCACATAACAATGTTGCCTCATTAGGCCACCCTTTGAGTACTGAACAGTCATTTGCAAACATTGTTAGTTCCTTGAGAACAACATCATCATCATCACAAGGCAAAGGCGGAGCTTTGTCTTCTACTTGCAATGCCGCTGTTGAGATTTTCAAGATTGCTTCTATTATTCCAGCTCTGGTTCTTGTTGGAGTAGCTGTTGGTTTTGTACTCCTTCGAATCGAAGCTGCTGTTGAGGAAGCTGATTGAACAGTCGGTTCGCTATTGTTTTCTTTTCTCTTCACCAAGATTTACTTTCTCTGCATTAATGTAGAGTTTCTTTGTTTTGGTTATGTATATTGAACTCATAAGCATTGAAAAAAAATTGAGTTTTCACATGTTAAAATCTGTGTCCTGTTTCCTCTCTTGACAACATCATACTCTATGGGGCCTTAGTGTATCGAATTTTAATTGAGATGATATGTGTGATCCTTAGGAGAGGGAGGAAAAGGAAATTGCGGAAACTTGAACGTAGCATAACAATTAACATCATTTGCTTGGGTTGATTTATTGCCAAAAGCTTAACTTTTATGTAGTTAGAAGGCCTATGATGATACATTCTTGATCTGTCTCATACTTGGAGTTGTCATCCGAGGCTAAGGCCAAATAAAGAAAGTCTATTCGAGTTTAGAAGGAATTCATTAATTCGATTGATGGCTTCTGAGTATTGCCAACATAGTGAAAAATGGAGGCTCTACTAACTTGAAACTAAAACAGATTATAGACAGAATTGTCAAGTTGAAATATCTTCCACTACAGAGAGGGAAGCCAAGTGGCTGACTTTCTCGCAAACTGACTTCCACGTCTATGCACACTAGCACGTTCCACTCCTTCATCCAGCTACAAAGACAAGCTAAGGGATTGGTTCAACTCGACAAGAGGCAAATGCCTAAACATTAGAACTAAAGCTGATAATGCAAACTTCTTCATCAGCTAATTTGTCCATAGAGAAATGTTTTTGTGCTTTCTGGTTTTTTTGGTGATAGTATATGACCTCCTATTTTGGCTTGACAGTGTTGTATTGAGGTTAGCCTCAGTCCGCTCTGCCTCTTTTTACTGAATACAACACGACCCCGACTTTAAATTTAGTAATTGAATTTAAAAAGAAAAAAGAAAACACGAAACTAATTTTAACTTTCGTTCAATTGATAAGTACGGCTAGACAGTCTAGTGACTGCAATACACGGGACTAGTACCACGAAGACACCCCATAACTCGTCCTCCCCACACATCGATTGAAGTTCATTTATGTTTGCAATTTGATGCCTAATGTACATTTCTTTATTTACTAGTTTACTTCAAGCAATTAATTGTTACAGGGTTGTCTCTGCCTCTATTCTGAAGCTGTTCATACTTAGACAATAGAGTCCTATCTGCTCGATTTTTGGCGAACATAAGGGAAATACCAGACACAAGAATCAAGATAGCTGCAATTACCCAGCTAAACTGCAAGTTCGCCATAGCTCGTGCTCTTGTATCAGCTTCATCCGTTTGACACATGATCGCTCCATGCACAGAGCTGTTTTCAGGACCTTCACTTGATTGCATAACACATCCTTGTGGAACAAAGTGAGGAAACCATAGACTAAATCCCATGTTCATAAACCAAACACCTTGGAAAATGACTGAAATTGAAAGAACAAGTGCTGCGGGGAAACAAGAAGGGAAGCAAGTGACAACAACAGCCGAGATAAGGGCAATACACACCACAAGCTGCAATAGCCAGTGGTAATGACCTTCAAGTCCTACATGATCAGTTGAATGATAATGAAGCAAGAAAAGCTCCTGACCAAAAATAGACATAGCAAGTATGCCTAAAATCCCATGTAGGATCTCATGTAAGTTGCTTATCTCAGCAAGAAGAGTAAAACCCGCGAATACAGTCAAGTGAAGGAACATAGTAGCATGTTCAATGTTATGAAGCTTCAATGATAAGTGAAGAGAAGGTAAGTCTATGAACTGGATAACTATGCAAAATAAGGAGAACGACAAGACAAGAATGAGATCGATGTGTTGTAGAGTAGGAAAGGGAGTAGCCTTAAAAGGGTACCAAAACCTTGATTTGAATTTTGTAGTTCCATTATGATAGTTAGCTCTAATAGTACTAATTGTATGCCAAAAACCAAGGAGGGCTAAGGCCAAGCCAGGTACTAGATGTCCAAGAAATGTCCCCATTTAAGGCTAATATTCAGAACTACACAAGAGTAATGGTTAAATACAGACGCGAATAAGAGAAAATTACTAGTGTTGTCAATCTGGTGCATTATACATGTGTTTCCACCATCAAAAGGCCAGAGGATCAATAGTGTATTCCATTAATAAACAACCTTTAGGATGACTAAGAGTTAAAGGACACAAATAATCAAGGTGGCGTGGCGACATGAGAAATGAAACTTTCAACAACTATTAACAGAAAGAAAAAGAGTCATCCAGGTTCACTAACTACTAATTAAGCTCTTGCTATGTGCCAGGTTTAGTGAAGGGTTAGACCATATTGAATGTACTATACACAGTCTTATTTTGCATTTCTACATAAGGTTATCGTTTGCATAATTTGCTCATGTGACCTCTTGATCACAAAACAATAACTTTTACCGTTATGTTAAGGAATTATTAAGAGAAAAAGGACAAAAGATATTTGTAATGAATCTCATTTTTTTGAGTGTTGTGTGCATGGAAGTAAGCCTTTAGTAACAAAAAAGCAATATTTTTTGGAAATGATATATACTACCATTAACCTATAGTGGACAATGATATATATCTCCATTATAATGTATTGGCAAATATGGTATTTCCACTTGTTGCAAACATTGACTGCTGATTGTAAATTCTACGTTTATTAAACATGAAATGTGAATAATAGAAGTTGTAAACAAGGGTTAAAAGACAAGCGAATTAAGATTGATCAGGATTGCGATTTTTTGTAAAAAAAATTAAAGTACCAAAGTAGAGATCGAATACAAGAATGTAAACTTATTGCTAGTCTTCACTTGTAATATAGCTAAAAGTTAATTTAAGGATATACTATTAACTAAGACTTTATTCGAATGGACTCCACGTGTGTTTTCTTTTTTATAGTCAATTTCGTACAACCAAGTAAAAAAGAAGATAAAAAGAAGAATGAATCATCATCCACATTATCTAGCATTCGCAGATGCCTAGGGGAAACGGAAAGCTTCTCATTGCTTTTACGGCTTTTTATTAAGAGTTACGTGTTTTTATAAGATTTTAGGATAACTTATTATGTCATGTGGCATATTTAAGGTATATTTAAATTTATTCATTAAATATTTATAAAGAGATCAAATTCGAATCATTTTAATTCGAGAAATATGTAATTAATGACCCTTGAATTACGAAGATCAAGTATAATCAACCCAATTCAAGAAATACACTATTGACGGCCCTCAAAACATGAAAATCAAATCAAAATCATCTGAATTCGAAAAATTCGTCACTAACAATTTTCGAATCATGAATAAATTTTAAGAATGAGAAGAATCTAATGAAGAACAGATTTGTACACTCAACGTTTATGAATAAAATATTCATACTTCTTCATAAAAAAGATAGAAGTATTGTTTTTAGACTATCAATAATTCAAAGATTAAAACTAATAATTTGCACCAAATTTAAAAATAATTTTTAATACGTTTCACAATATTTAGCACTCAATAACTAATTTTCCTATATTTTTACAAAATCCTAAATATTAATTAATCTCACCAAAGATATAAACGGGAAATATTCAGAAGCCAGATGTTACTAGGTACCTTCCCCCAATTCAATCATCTATTGTATCGACATAACTAATGCATTTACATACAAATAATTTGTATAAAATTGATGAAAACATACTAATAAGAACTAACAATACATATACTTTAACCAAAAAAATATACATTACAATTAACACAAATACTAAATCCCTACGATAAACGATGAATCAAAGTAGATGAAAGTTATTCGAATGAAGGTAAAAATACAAAATATCCAAATAAAAATCTGAAAAATTAAAAATCGTCAATATTTGTTACCTAAAATTGGAGAAGCACGTCCGCCCCTATTGATAATTAGTTTAAACTATAACTATATTTAGTAATTGACTTGTAGATGTTTGTCGAGTTATATAATTTTTCTTTTAAGAAATTATATCGAGTTAAATTCGATTGTCCACATGGTTGACTCATGAGTCAAAAACTTTTTAAATTTTTTTCACTCGATATTCAATATTCACATTAAAACTCAATAAAATTTATATTCACACAAAAAAATTTCACATTAAAAATACCTTTTTGATATGTGTAATACATAAATGGTACTCCTAAGTATGTATAACGTGTAATAGTTTTAATTTTCAGGATTACAGCCAGTTTTGCTTTTGGCTTTTTCTAGCTAATTAGTTAAATAATTATTTACTTAATATGTATTCGTGTTGCGAGGATGATTTAATATAATGATTTCAAAAGTAATAATTTTATAATAATTAAAAATTACTTAAAAAATAAAGTATTTACTTAATATTATATATAATTTAATATAAGCCACAAATTATTAATATATTTATTTAAGCAAATTAAATTATTATCATTATTAATACACAATTAATTTTATCATTTTAAAATATAATATGTAATAACTATATCACCTACGCTTTTAGTTTTATAATATGTTATAATGAATTTTTCTAAGGATACTATTAATTTTATGATTATCTCATATATCCAAATACACCAAATATTTTTAAAATTTTGTACTTTATTCTTTTCATCTCGTTCGAATAAAAAAATACTGTTAATAATTTATTAATTTTAACATTTCATATGAATTATTTGATACATAAGATTAGATGGTATGTTGATACATTAAGTATATGCATATACATACATACATACATATATATATATATATATATATATATATGCATATGTATGTATGTATGTATGTATGTATGTATATATGTATAATGTATATATTATATATTTTTTAAAATAGTTTTCTTAAACGAAGTAACCGCATATATAGAGTAAAACCAAACATATTGTTGAGATCGTCAGTTTTCACAAACTTTAGTCTCAAATAAATTAAAAGGAAATACATAAAGAGATCTTTAGACTTGTTGAGTTTTTTTTCCTCAGGTATCGCAACTATGCTATTTTCATATTGAATCATTAAACCACCCATAATTTGTTCCTTTTAAATATTTTGGAACTAGATTTTGCAAGGAGTATTGATAGAGGATACATACGTTGTTTCAGAACTCGTTGGTTCAATTGATAATGAGACTAACACACAGTTTGTTTTCATTCCTTCAATCAAAATCACTCCAATACAAACAGAATTGATCAAGGCATTTACAATAGAAAAGTCGATCAAAATCAGCCAACGATTTTTAACACGAACAAATTATGGGTGATTCAATGATTCAATAGGAAAATGACGTAGTTGAGGCACCTGAGGAGAAAACCCAACAAGTTTAGGGATCTGTTTATGAGTTTGGCCAAATTAAAAAGAAACAATAGTTGATGACATTTTAAAAATAGTTGTTTTTTTGGATATTTATAAATAATCAAATGGCTGATTTTTTAAAAATGTTTTGAATGGTTTGTTTTATTTTACTATTTTAGTATTTTTAAAAATATATCTTTCATTGTTTTTATTATGTTTTAAAGAGTTAATTTCTTTAAAATGTTATCCTATTTTGATCAGTAAATTATATTTTAGGAATTACTATTTTTCTTTTCTTTAACTCAAATTAAAAAGATAACAACATTACATAAAAGTTTAAGATCCCACTAATTCCAAAATAATGAATTGACATTCTTTTTTCCAAATACAATATTGCAATATTTATTTTTAAAAATATTGCAATACAATTCAGTAGAGTTGTTAATATGGGCTAGTACACCCCATTCGGGCTAACGCATACAAGCTTCGATATTTTATGGATCAGGCCGGGCTAGCCCATTTCTGGTATGGGTCAGAAAATGATTGACCTAACCTACAAGTACATGGGTTACAGGCTTTCCGGGCCAACTCACTTTTTTTTATAATTATATTATTTTGAGAATTATTAAATTAAATTATAAATTATAATTTAAAAATATTATCATAAATATCAACAAAATAATATTAAATATGATGTTAATGTTACTATTTTTAATCAAATTCACAAATAAAATTATCTTTATAATATTTATTTAATTTTTTTTCAGATAAGAGTATAACTATCTAAATAGAAATATTAACCTAATTGTTTTGAGTTTGAATTCTATTTAATTTTAAATTTTAATATTATATTATATTTTTTAATTAAATTTTATTGGTCTATGGGCCGGCCCTACCATATTTCTCAAGCCCCAAAAATCAACAGACTTATTCAGGCCGGACTAAAAAACATCTTTCTCAAATAAGCTTCAAAAATCGTAGCCCAACCCTATTAAATCTCGAGTTAGACCACACCGGCCCAACAGGCCTAGCTCATATTGACGGTTCTACAACTCAGCTAAAGTATTTCATTTTGTTTACAATAATACTGTTTCCACAAATCAAAACCACATTGAGAATTTTGTGCTATGATAATTTTGTTGTTTTATATAATTTTTTAAGTTAAATTTTTTTAAAAATAAAATAAAATTTTATTTTTAAATTGTTTTTAATTCTTTAATGTACATAGAAATTATGTACTGCTTATATGTAAGCATCTTTTTTGATTCTCCTATTATATATTGATAGATTTTCCTTGTAAAGTAACCTGTTTTAATGGGTAACCTATTTAGGAATCACTTATTTTCTTTTCTTAACTCAAAATTAAAAAGATAACATTACATATAAATTTTTAAAGATCCCACTAATTTTAAAATAATTAAGTGACATTTTTTTTCAAATACAATATTGTAATATTTATTTTTAAAAATATTACAATACAACTCAATTTAAAAAAAGTTTCGTTTACAATAATTGGGTTTCCACAAATCAGAACTCATTGAGAATTTTGTATTATGATAATTTTTGTGGTTTTATGTAATTTTTAAATTTATTTTTTAAAAATAAAATAATAAATTTTATTTAAATTTTTATTAATTTTTTAATAAATTTTGTGGTGCTGACATGACATGTAGGTTTTTTTTCTCCTATTAGATATTGATATATTTTCTTTATAAAGTCATATTATTTTAATATGTAAACTATATTTTAAGAATCACTACTTTTCTTTTCTCAAGTGTTAAAATTTAAAAGATAACAACTGACCTAAATTGTAAAGAGTCAACTAATTTTAAAATAATTAACTGACAATCTTTTTTTCAAAACAATATTCTAATATTACTTTTTAAAAATATTTCAATACTACTCAATAATTATTTGTTTCATTTACAATAATTGTGTTTCCACAAATCAGAACCCATATTGAGAATTTTGTGGTATGATATATTTAGCGGTTCGACATAATTTTTAAATTTAGAATTTCAAAAAAAATAAAATAAAAAAATTAATTTTAAATTGTTAGTAATTTTTTAATTTTATGGTGCTGACATGTAGACATTTTGTTAAAAATAAAATTATCCT